ATGCCCGTTCGCAGGTTAAGGGTGGGCATAGCTCTGGAGAAATCGAATTGATTCACGTTGAATTTCCAACGTGAGTTCTACGCATGCTCGGCAATGTTGCAAAATATAAATAAAGTATTTAGAAATTTCGCGTCGAAAAATTGGTATATTTTAATACACTGAAATCGAATTGAAAACAACTAAAAATTCTGGGGGAAATATGTACGAAAGCTTCGGTTGGATAGGGATGCAGCTACCTGAAAAATACAAGGAGAACTTCGACGTTTCGAGCGAAGGCACTTCGATCTGTACTGTTAGTGTTTATATACATCGTACTTGACCTTTGCTGATAAATATAATCTCCTCGATAATAAGTATTATATATTTTTATGCTTTAAAATTTACATTTAACTCTCCTGTCAGAATTTATGGTATACGTAGTGTTAGGTATGACAGTATATATATATATAAAAGGCAAGTACAATGTATACAAACACTAACAGCACAAGTCGCTTGCCTTCGCTCGAAACGTCGAAGTTCTCCTTGTATTTTTCAGGTATAGTTGTATCCCTATCAATCCGCAGCTTTCGTACATATTTCCCCCAGAATTTCTAGTTGTTTTCAATCGATTTCAGTGTAAAAAGTATCAAATTTTCGACGAGAAATTCCAAATACTTTGTTTTATAGAACTCACGTTGGAAATCCAACGTACTATCTGCCGTTAGCCAATCACAGGCCTGAATCAATTCGATTTCTCCAGAGCTATGCCCACCCTTAACCTGCGAACGGGCATGCTCGGGGAACGAGATTGGACTATGATCAGAGGTGGGGGTTTTAGAAAGAAAATTAAAAAATTTCTTGTCCTTACTTTTACATGGCTTCTCATCATACCCATCATCGCAGTCTTTCTGCCCATCACACACGTAGTCCATTGGAATACATTGTCCACCTGGACAATGGAATTGCTTATCATCGCAAACTTTCATACCATCTAAAATATAAACAACAACTTTCTGGTATAAAAATAAAAGGAGCTTTACCAAGCAGGGCGGCGACCGCGCAATTCAAGACTGATTGATGATAGCATTGAGAAGAAATGAATGATCTCAAATCATTAATAATTCATGAGTAAATTAGCCAGCCATATTACTTTACTTTGCTCACATGATAATACGCATGGATATTAATTCACCTCACTTTAAATAGTGATTTATTCGTATGATACGTCATTCCAAATCCTCCAGCAATTCCGATTGGACTAGATTTCAAGTCATTGAATTTTGTCTCAAATTGCACGGACTTGAAATCTAGTCCAGTCCTCATACGGCAAAAGCAAATTCATCACGGCAAGAGCAAATTCATCACGGCAAGAGCAAATTCATCACGGCAAGAGCAAATTCATCACGGCAAGAGCAAATTCATCACGGCAAAAGCAAATTCATCACGGCAAAAGCAAATTCATCATGGCAAGAGCAATTCATCACGGCAAAAGCAAATTCATCACGGCAAAAGCAAATTCATCACGGCAAAAGCAAATTCATCACGGCAAGAGCAAATTCATCACGGCAAGAGCAAATTCATCACGGCAAAAGCAAATTCATCACGGCAAAAGCAAATTCATCATGGCAAGAGCAAACTCATCACGGCAAAAGCAAACTCATCACGGCAAAAGCAAATTCATCACGGCAAAAGCAAATTCATCACGGCAAGAGCAAATTCATCACGGCAAGAGCACAAGAGCATAAGAGCAAATTCATCACGGCAAAAGCAAATTCATCACGGCAAAAGCAAATTCATCCCGGCAAGAGCAAATTCATCACGGCAAGAGCAAATTCATCACGGCAAGAGCAAATTCATCACGGCAAGAGAAAATTACCCACGGCAAGAGCAGATTATCCACGGCAAAATAAAAACAAATTACTGGTCAGCGGTTTCGTCGCCCCTCTACAACTTCATGTTACGAAAACATTATAGTTTGTCGGTAAATATCCCTAAAATTCCCGGTGATCCCATTGAAACGAAACGAAGGAAAATCAGGCAAAACCAAGTTCATGTTCTGCTCGATTTGCGGAAAAGAAAAGGGGGGAGGTGACAACTTCTGCCCTCATTGTGGACAAGGTAAATTCTAATACAATGTTCAATAGTATTGTGTCGTTTCATCTTTTATGCATATTTATGACAAGGACAGTGGTCATTGGCACGGTATATTTGACGATTATATTATTATTTGGCATGTTTGCTATATGCAAATTTTCATAAGTCTATCTAGGCGTTGTTTGTATTGAACAGAAAAAACTCACACAAAAACTAAATGTGTTAGTCAGGGCCTGTTCGGCTGTTCTGGCTGTTGTTGTACGTTGTACGTACGAGCCGAACGAGTTTGTTAGGGATTGGGCAATAGGCATATAAAAGTACGGGG